ACAATTGAACCCTGATGAAGATAAATCTTATCTTCTTACTCCATACCCTACGTTAATGCAATCACTCAAAAAATTTTCACCCAAAAGCATCAGAGCTATTGCTCGTAATCCAAATATTGATTTACAATCAATTGGTATATATTCAAAATCAGATATCGAACACCACATTAGAACACAACAATTCCAAGAATTATTAACATAAATGGACACTATACAAAGACAATCAATTGATCAAACTTTACGAAAACTTGCCGAAACCGCAGGATTTGCAGATATTTATACAATATACAAGACTATATATACCTAAACGGTGAAAAATACAGACCACAAGATATTTCACCTATGAATATTTTTAGCTTTGTTACCCTAAAAAATGAAATTCTCGATTTTCTAGGATGGCCCTATTACATCTTAGAAAAATTAACTATCCTATACGCAATGTTTATCTTTATAGGATTTCTTTTTTCACTTTTAAAAGGAATCTAGAACACATGCGCTATACACACACAAGTAAATAGACAAGCAAGTGTAGCACGCATACTGTTTGCAGGATTTTTTGGAATTTTTTTTTCATCAATAAACAAAATTCTTCTAGACGCATAAATAAAAGAATATAATACAAAAATAGCGACAAGACAGAACACGTACGACGAAGAACATAATAACATAGAAGTAACACCTACCGCACCACAGTTGCCACCCCTACCACATAACCATCCCTTATCCTTACTCCCACGTAATTTCCGAAACCTAGCAAAAACACATAATCCAAATTTTAGACCAAATATATCGCAAAGTCCCATACAACATATAATGACACATCATTCACAAGATGATAATACATATGAACAAATTATAGAACAACCCCATACCACCGCTTTTCAGTCTCAAAATAATCATTTTTTTAGCCTACGATAAGCCGACAACTTGGATCCCTACACCGCTCAAATTCCCACCCAACCAACCTCCACACTCCAATCCCAATAATCCCACTTTTTGCTTTCCCACCACCCGATTTCCCAACTATTAATATATCATCAAGCACGAATTGGGATACTAACTCAAAAATTTCAGTTTTATACTCCATCTCACAACTTAATAACACTAATATAGAAACCCCTGACGAATTTGCAGACTCCGAACCATCTCCATCCAATAATTTTCAAAGCAACCCCTCAGTTTTTTCAAAACCCCCTTTTCAACCAACCCCACCAAATAATTCACTCCCATCCGTTTCCACTCCTTCTTATGCTTCGCAAGTAACCCCAACCTACTCTCCACTTCATTCCGACCGATCATCTAATAATTCTCCAGATACCCCCCAAATTTCCCAGGAACTCGATAATTTCATCACCCTACAACAACAGTTAATATACCCTAACACCCTCACCATACATCAAATTTCATCCACAACAGAATCCTCAAACCCTGCTACTCCTACACCCTCCTCAGCTTACACTGCATCATTAGCACAATCATCCACATCCACCGAAACATCTAATAGCACTAACCGAGCTTATCGCACTTTTAAAAGGAAATTCCCGAACCATCTATTCCCGACCAAACCAGGAACAGCTTGCGAATATATTAATCATCCACAACACACCAACACGAAAGATTTTCTAGCAATCACCTTACCCTCATTCCCACAATACACATTAAACACACCTAACGACACTAACGACACACGTAGTTTTGTAGATGAACATGTTTTAATGCCCACACTTCACTGGGCAGCATATTACTATTTTACTAATCCCCTTTGCCTGCCACTGTCTAGTACTCATGACGACATCGAAAAGAATAAAAATATGCTATATAGACTCACCGCAACACTAACACCTAGACAATTTACTTATGTAGGATATAAAAAATTACTAAAAACATTCACTGCACCTCGAGCTAACGAATTTACAATAGAATATTACGACCATTATATCATCCGAACTAATCAAGACCAATTTCTAGATGACGACCGCTTCGCTAACCCACAACTAACAGAAAAATTTTTCATCAAAACGTCATATGTATTCACACTTAATATTTTTGATAGAAAATATGATCACATCATTTCTGAAGCACTAAATGATATTCAACCTTACGAAAGTTTCAAAGACAAATTTCAGTTATTTTCACTAACTTTTCACTTCCTTGCACCACATGAACGCGATTTGCACTGTTCACACGACATTATGTTACGCACTAAACAGATTCATACATATACATACTATCGCTTCATACAAAATCATTTTGATTTACATACTCCATCAAGACAACCACACCATCGTTTTCAATTTTTTAACTCGAAGTACACTTCACCATTTTTTCTTAATTTCACTTATTGCATCAAGGATACTAACCTCCACGGCTTCCTCCGCAATTATGGCCCAATAACACAAATGTATATATTTTGTCCCATCACGAAGACCTTTAACGCCGAAGAATCCAGACCCTTCCTTCTCCCACATGAATTTATCCAGCCAATAGAAATCCCAATATTAGAATTCATTCACAATACTAAATATAATCACAAACATATGACTTCATTCAAAACACACCTTAAGAGTTTGCAGTAGGCACCGAAGAACTAAAAAACCATTAAAGCACTTCAATTGCTTTGGCCACTGCTCCAAACTAAAAACATCATTCGCATACTAGCAAAATTACTAACAACATCGGACATGATACACGACATATTCCCCCACGGCTTTTCCCCAGACGATTAACAGGTAATTATAAATTAAAAATTTTCTTCACTAATAAATTTAAATTAGTACTAACCATTCTTTATTCATGTTTCTTTTACATTTCTAGTCTTCATACCACGATCATCTGGAAAAAACAGAAAAGAAAAATAAAAAATAAACTTGTTAAAATTCTTATAAACTTCATTAATATTCTGCACAAAATAATATAATAAAATTCATACCAAATGTAGTAAATTAATTTATAAATTGTTTCCCCATGAAGCAGTAAATTCAATTACGATGAAAATTTATAACTTTAAATTTTCCCAAAAAAGCAGTAAATTTGAAATTCTATGTAATAAATTGATAAAATGAAAATGCAGTACTAACCTTTTGATATTTTCATTCACTCGCACAAGAATTCTATCCAAACTCGCACAGCTCGCCCACGAAGAATTGTTTAAATAATGGTTTTGAGTTTCAAGTTTTAACATTCAACAACTCTAACACGCGATAACAAGTTTCAAACTTTCCTTTAACCCAGTTGGAAAGGAATTATATACTAAACCAAACTAACCAACGCAGCTTACTAAACACCACAAATCATAAAATAGCAGCATGACTAAGAAAAGAAAACCAACGGTACCCAAACCGGATTAACCCAGTTTAAAACTGGATAATTTATTCTTTGAAAGACTATTATAAAGTCTAAGAAAGAAATAATAAAACACAAAAAAGTCGCAAGACAAACCCATACCAAAAACAATTTGATTTTTGAAAAAAGGACACAACCAAAGAAACATAAGAAAAACCAATATAAACCCAACATAAAACGTTATCACATAACAGGACCTCTCAAAGAAACAGCATGAAATCATACTCCCACTCCTGGCCTAACCCACCAGAGAGGACGTCCTGAGCATGCTCTATAGCCGGCCTAACCCACTGCGCTACATCCACGCTTTGTGACCACACTTCTTTTTTTAATAGAAGGTACTCAAGGGTGAGTAACTCTTCAAAATAACCAAACTAAAACAAAATGCTTTTGTGAAAACAACTAACTAAATTCATGATTAAAAAACCGAACTAATAAAATTTTATAAAAAGTAAATCAAACCTTGCAGTATATAGATCAACACACAACAACAAAGACGAACATCCAAAGACAAAATGATTCAATCACATTCGAACAAGAATGGCTAACTACAACCGATATGCCGTCCACAATCACAGCTCAAAGGATTTAGAGTACGACTTGACTTCGCAGAAAAGGACTTCATTGAACTAGACCAATGACCACCTCGATGTTCAAGTATACGTACAGATCCGAGTTACGAGGCATCCCTTCCACACACGATCTCCACGCCATTCCCAGACGAGGTTGAACACAAAACAAGTTCTCTACATAATACAGAAAAACCCGTCATAGCAAACCATTTTGAAATCAGATTGATTTCATTGGGGAACACAGTCGTTGTCACAAGACGACACAACGATTGATGTTCCTAACTCCAGCGTCCTGGAACTTCTTTAACAAGAGGAACCGGACAAGAATATGATGTTCACCAAATACCAACGTTCATCATCCATCCTTTGAATTGCAGAAAGATAATTCTAAAAACTCTGTAAAACCCGGATGGGTGGAACGTGATCTAAACTATATTTTATGATTGGATAAATTGGATATTTCACCACTGTAAAATATTTAATATTAACCAATCATAATCCATCTAACTAACAACCCACTTATTTGTAAGTGCTGAAATTACTTGTAATTTCGGCACCAGAGAGATTTGAATTTAAATTAGAAATTAGTTGTCTCTCCAAGAGAACTTCAGCAGCCGCAATAAACCAGTATACCCTAGATCTATTGAGCCTAGCAGAGACTAGTTAAACACCCTGAGACTAGAAAGTATTAGAGTAAGATTAGGATCGGTATTAGACTAAGAAGTTGCACGAATCTATCCGGCCGAAAATAAGATAGCGTGACGAGCAGACGGTGTAACCTATTCGAAATTACTCTATGAGTTAACCACATCGGTTCTAACTCAAAAGTATTTGTTTTCTGAGAAGATCCAAATTAAAAATGAAATTGCTAACATTCAGTAAATCCACAACTGCATGTCTCTAAATGAAAAGACTAAAACAATAGTACAAAAACTGAAAAAAATTAAGTATTTTAACATATTGGTAGGAAGTCCTCATATGATTAACCAATGGCTTGGTTCTTTACATGGGTAATTACTCTTTACACTTTGGGTTGTACCATATGTCGGGGGGATTGCATAGTTTAAGAGATGCAAAGTAGCCAACCTGAACAAATGCCATTCAAATAAAGAGACCTTTGGCAACAGAATACTGACATGCTGGCCCGACTTGTAGTTGAAACGACCTTTGCTGAACTTAATTTGGATGACGTCACAAGGAAGTCTCTTAACGAGACACTTTCGACTGTTTTTCTGGTTCCACAGAACTATGAGAAGCTTCATGATGAAATCGGCAGTCCAGAAAATGACACCGAAAGCCGAAATCGTTGATCCATGAAGAATTGACATCACAAAAATACCGATCGCCAAGATTAGATGAATTCGGTAGAATGCTTCGTAGAAATACTTCCTTATATAGTATAGGGCAAAAATGACGATGGCGAAAATGAACCCGGCGAAAACCCACCCAGTCAGAATGGCGCCATCTTCATCTTCGTGTTCTAAATAAAAAAATTGCTTCACTTGCAATCTTACTATTATCTCAATATTTGAATGAAACTTTCTCATTTTAGCCATCGCTTTCTCAGCAAAAAAAAAAGATATATAAACAAAAACAAAATCGTTTGTTGCAAAAAACTTAGAAAATAGGAAATTGGTTGAAAATCAATATGCTAATTTCTTGACCTTGACTTTAAGGAAAAAAATTATCGGAGTAGATAATATAAAAATAGGAACTGAAGATGTTCAATACGCCTCTCTACTAAATACGTGGACATATGGACAAAAAAGATTTCGAAATTCATATTGACTTTGTTTATTGACTCGTCAAAAAATGAATATGTTTTGTGGGTAGCTCTACCCATAACGTGACGTACAAACCACAGCACAAACATTTAATTTCTATTTCAGCCAAAAATGCAACATGATGTTGTAGTGTACAGCACAGCTAGTAAAACATCAATGAAAAAACAATCTTGATGTAAACTGACAAATGTCTATTGAATAATCTTAAAGCAAAAATTTTCACTGAATGTTTGACCTAGCAAACATTATGGCTGCTCTACAACCGATAACATTTGATATAAGCTAATTGGACAAAAAATGGGACATTTTAGAATTTTTTGAGCATCTGCAGATTTTTTTTCAAGATGCAAAACATGCTAAAAGACAATACTTCAAAAGTTTACCTCAAAAGGAAATCAAAATGATTTGTCTTGCTACTGCTTACAACAAATTTTTCTAGTTTGGCTTTTGGTTCAGAAATATTATCTGAGAAAAAATTGTGCTGCTGCGTTAGAGCAAACAATATTCTCGAGTGTTGTAGATTTATTCAAGATTTGACTCAGTTTTTGACACTTTGGTTCAAAAATGGGCAAATTGTGAAATGTATACAATAGACCACGAAAAAAGCGAATAACTATTGTTTGTGAAAACTGGCATGCTACTTGGAATAGAGAAAACTGCCTAGCGTGACCTTCAGTTCGGACTGTAATTTTTTCGAAAAAGATCCTCAGAAGAATCCAGAGAGATGACCTTCCGCCACTATAGCCAGTGAAATGGCAAAAAATTAACGCCAAAACGCCATTTGGATGTAATAATTTTAATTTTGGTAATAAGTTAGTCTTGTGTTTTGAAGTTTTTTTTATACTTGTCAGTACAATTTTCAATTCAAAAATTTTTATGCTCGTCGACACAATTTTCAAACTTGAAATTTTTATACTAGTCAATACACCGCTTTTATTTCGGTTTGGATTAAAGCTGTCTATCGTAATGATTTTTGACGCTGATTTAGTTTAATAAACTAAAATACTATTTTTCGTGCAAATTTTTCCGATTGAAAAATTAAGGTCAATTTACAAACCTCCGTCCCTTCGAACCCTTCTGTCATGTTCATCTTCTTCTCCTTCTTCTTCTTTTTCGCCTGCCAGACCGTGAACAAGTGACGTCACAACCGCAATCACAGCGAACAGCTTGTGCAGTAGGAGGAGTCTGTCGTAACTCACTCCAGAAATGAAAGTGACGAGTGAGTTCTTGGAACTATTCAAACACTGTTTTTTTTTCTAGTGATGTTTAGAGTCAGTTTGCATTTGATTCAAAAACGAGTCAAAATAAACTGCGGCGGGTTTTCGCTTCTTGATAGATATCAAATTGAATGTGCTGTATTCCATTCAAAAATTCTTCTTTTTTTCGAAAACACAATATCTTCTTTACAAGTTCAAAAGTTGAGCTGAGTATGAACTGAATGTCTCTTAGAAATTTTTCTTGAAGTAGTTTTTACTTGTGTTTTGCATTTATTTGTGATAAGCATTTTGCAAACTTTGATCTCAATCGCCAATCAGAATAATTTTGAAAATTACTTTTGAAGCTTAGATAACAAATTACAAGAAAAAAATTTGTTTCAACTCTGGCAAATGGCTAAAAATTTTAAAAAGGGCGCCAGACGAAAAAAAACAGCCCTGAATAGAAACGTGAAGAAAATGGACCAGGCTGCCACCGACCCTGTAGCTTCATACTCGCAACACGACAGAGATGTAAAGAGAGAAAAAGCAAGGATGACTCCCGGAATCAGAATCAGCTCCCCCAATGTAATTCCATAGTCCCATACATCAATCACCCTGAAACAGTACTGGAGTTTTGTAGGAAATTTATTTTTTTTCATAGTATTCTGTTCAATATCTATCGGAAGATCAACAGACCTGAAAAACCCAACAATCCGAGCCAATTTATTTTATCGGTTGAAAAAACAAACTCGAATTTCTTGACCAAGCTCAGATTGCTTAGATTGTTCTGCTGTAGTAGTTAGCTCACTATTTCGTGGAGCTGCCAATGATAAAAAAGACCAGTATTAGATGCTGGAGAGACTCAGGGGGTTGGGCGAGGCAAAAAAAAATTAAATTTATCATTAAAATTGACATGATGGTCAGTCAATAAGCAGAATGTTCTAAGAGCAGAAAAATACCAGTTTTTATAAGCTAATCGGTAAATTAAGTATGAGATTTGTCAATATTACCAAAAAGACAAATATATTGCACCTAATTTAAGCAATCTGATCAAGGTTTTTTGAAGTTTAAAAAACAAATTTGATGAATATATTCAGTTCTGGTATATTTTATTTATTTTCTTGGTATTATTGGCGTTTTTAGTAATTGCTTAGTATCAATTAGCCCGTATAAATCGATAAAATATATATATTTTTTCAGCTTTTCTTTTGTTGCACTCATTCTACTTTTAGACCATTCTGCTTATTGCTATTCCTTCATTGATATAATCAGTGCATAAGCAAAACATTTCCATACAAAACAGTCCAATACAGAATAGTCCAAAAATCATGTTATATAGGAAAAAACAGTCCAACACAAAACAGTCCGGTTTAAGATCGCCGGTGGGTGCGCTTGCGGCAATAACCGGCTCTAAATTTTGTATGAAGTCCGACCCTCTGATGGCAATTCGCAACACGTTGGCGCGACTGCGGCGGACAATATTCTGTGCTATGTTTGTTGAACAATGGACAATTCTCGGCTTGTTAGAACAATTATTACTTGGGACTGTTTTTCCGACTGTTTTGTATCGGACTGTTTTTTGGCTCATTTTCATACATTTCCGGCCTGTTTTGTATTGGACTGTTTTGTATGGGACTGTTTTGTACAGACACGATATATTCAACCTAAATAGGCCTTTTTCATGGTTGCTGTTACACACAACCCTCAGTCCGGACTGCTTAACTCAATCAGATTTTTTTTATTTGAACAGCCAATGAGATTGAAGAGCTTAATAGGCAAGAAAGAAACTGCCATTAAATGTTCTAAAAGTGAGGAGGAAAACTTTTCGAAATTTTTTGTACATAATGCCCAAAATTATCCGACATTCTCCAAAAAAGCAATCTGCCCAGTCGAAAACTATTTGGCATGGCTGTGTAAATAGTATTGGAGCTGCAAACCAATATATTCATAAAACTTAAATAATCGAAAATTGCATTTCATTTTTGAGAATCTACTGGTTGAAAGCATTTCTAGATCATTCTAGAAAACTTCAAAACATGTTTGTGTTATATCTAACTCAGCTCAAAAATCAATCTTTAGAGGTAATATTTTAAATGAACAACTCTCCAGAATGAGCTGTCGAAATTACAACGTTGAAAATTGTATGGACATTTGTATCCACGTTTGGGCAGAAAAAGTTCTTTAAAGGATGCCTCAAACGATTCAAGCTTGTAGTGAGACTATCAAAAGATTGAAAAATTGACACTAATCGAGAAGCAAAATGGGATTAATTTTGCTATGCTTGTTTCAGTGATCACTTAAGGGTAAAAAGATATTCCTAAAAATATATTGTTTTTAGTTCAAAAAATCACTTCATAATTTTTTTTTCTATCTCCGAGCAATGTTTATTTCCTTTTAGAGGAATTTACCAAATAGAAATCACGAACTTAAACATGGAACTTCAAAATTATCATCTAAAATCGAGCGGAGCAGAGCAAAAATTGTGGGGAAGAAGAAAATCAAATCATTCAATGGTACAAAAAAAAACAGATTTTTTTTTTCAGCTAGCAAACTGTTTTGAGCATTTAAAAACAAATATTTGAAAACAGTTTTCAATGTAAATTTTTTTTACATGCATACAATTAAGCATACAAATAAACTATGATAATTCCCAATGCTCCATTTTGCTAAATATTTAAGGTCAATTTTTGCAGTTTTGAAATTTTGCTACTGCTCGTACCCACGCGCGCGCTGCTAATCCCCATTACCTCTCAAAAAACCAACTTCTAACACCAAACGCTGGAAAAGGAAGATAGAAAAATCAAAATTAAGCATTCAGAAAGGTCAAACAATTTCAATGAAAATAATGAATGCGGGAAATATAAAGCAGTGTTAGCCGAAATAAGCTTTTCTTTTCAAAAAGGAACTCATTACGCGTTTAGATGATTCTGATTGGTTTATTTTTTCCATTTTTGGCTTCTATTTGATAAATAGCCACCAAATAACTCAACATTTTTGGCCCATTTGGATTTGTTTCAACTGTCAACTAATTTTTAGCCAAAGCCCAAAAAACTTTGTGTGCCATTCTTTTTTTTATAATTTCGACCTTAAATTTCAATTTTGTCTTCAGGTGTATTTTGTTTTTTTCTTTTTTTTTTCCTCAAAAAACCAGATACTTAAATTAATCAACGGATTGGACTCTTATTATATCACCATAAAGCCCTTCTAGTCGCAATTCGAACGACCTTTAAAAAGTTTCGAAAAGTTTTCGCAATTTTTCAAAAAAAAATTGCAGTGCCGAGAAAAACTGGTTGTTTTCAACCAGTTGATTCAGTTATGTAAGGATATAAATAAATGAAATTGAATTCAACACTTTGAGTAGAAAATCTTGAATATAGACTTTCCATTATTCTTGTTTCAATATTGCCGGTTCTTGTTTGAATATCGCAATATACTCTTTTTACCCTGAAAACCCGTAGATGTTAGAACTAAATTCTCTTGTTTGCGAAGTAAACAATTCACTGAACTAAGTGTTGCTAATTACTAGACTTTGGTGAAGGTCTTTGATTGCTCCTCATTTTCCATCCAAAGGAAAAAAAATTTGGCAAAAAAATAGGATCCTATTTGATCTATGATTTGATTATATTCGACTCATGATTCGACCCTGTTTGACGCACGATTAGTAGATTTTTATCTCGAAATGAGACTTCAAGGTGGGCCAAAACTTAGACATTATTTCAACATTTGATCAAATCATGAGTCGAGGACCTCAGCGAAGGCAGCAAAATTAGTTCTAACATTTCGTTCACTGATTAAAGGATGCGACGTTATCTCGTTTTGGAAAAACGAGCGAATCTGGAAAATGCATCCGGCCGTTGCCTTGAGGATGCACAGTTCAGTGCATACTAACCGATGGTGGAACCATTTGAGCAGATTCCATCTGAGCTTGTAGAACAGTCTGGGTGGCTGCAACAGATTGGTCAAAGGCAATTCCGCTCCCATGTTTTCAAACGATTTCCACTTTTTCTTTCCCTCTTGTCTGGATGTGTTCTGAAACAAAGTTGGCTGATACTTGAAACGTGAATTTAAAGCATAGTTTTTAAACCCAAAACTTGTTTTTTTTAAGTAAATTTACCATTTTAAAATGTATTAGTAATAACCAAAACCAAAGTTTGCGAATCAAGGCAGACGTTTTGAGCTTGATTAGACACGGAAAATACCTAATGGTCATTTTAGACAATATGGTACTCAAATGCCCTCAATTTACTCTCGGAAGTCAATACCCGACCTCTCTGCCTCAATAAAAGATCTTCTTGATTCAACATTAGTAGCTATCCTCACTGTGAGTTTTCTTTCAATGGATCACTTACCATTCGTGGAGTTGACTCAATGTCATTTTTTGCCATCAACTCAGAAGGTGCCACTCTGCTTGCACCCAGTCGATTTCTGGACTGCTGCTGGTTGCTGGCGTTGCCGTCATTACCCTGTCCGAGAGCAGTCCTTCGGAAAAATCAAGTTAACCCAACCCCTAGGAGAGTTCGGAATTTCAAATAGTCCGTAGAAAAAAAAAACAGTTTTTTTAAGTGTCAGCTTGCAAAACTTTTGATTCCGTCCCTGATTGATGTGATATATTTCCGATGGTCAATCTCAATTACTTGGAAAGCGACCGAATACTTTTGTCTCAGTAGCTGGAGTTAATTCTTGTTTTTGCATGCCTCAAAATTGATCGGCTAAAATTTCGGCTCTTTTTTCACCATCACCAACCACCCCCCCCCCCCCCCCCCACCACCCCCATCTCACATAGGCATCAATTTTCTTGGTCTAACGGTAGGTTTTTTACAAGGTTGAGTATCAAGACCAAATATGTTTGCCGTGGCCTAAAAATCTGCTTAGCAAAATTTGAACCAGTCGAAACAATGTGAACAAAAGATGCCGTATAAGTTTTCACAGCATTGAAGAGCCAAAAAGACCCGAAAATCGTAGAAAATAATCAAAATTTGTTCAATGTGCATGGGTTTATTTAAGTGAAAGCAAAAGTTTTTGGAGGAATTAGAAAGTTATCTTGATTCCCTTTGGAAGTTCAATGCAGTTCCATTGCTTATGCTGTTTCCCGCCTGTTCTAGCCCTGCTGCATTCCCATTGGTCAATCGGTAGTCTGCATCTGCTTCGAATGCCAAGTTGCTGTTGCCATTCGTATTCGTAACTGCTCTGCCGTCTGACATTTGATCTGTCGGTTACTTCCCGCACCGGAGCTTCTCGGATAAAAATGATGATTGAGATTATTGAATAATATGAGATGATTGAGCTCGAAAATGATTGAATTATATGAAAAATTATTTGCGTTTAGAGACTTACTATGTCGAATATCTTCTTGGTCTTTTTCTGATAACGTAAACGCGACCTTAAAAGGAAGATCAAAAAGTGATTGAAGTCTCTGCAGAACAATGTTCTCAGATGTTTTTTAACCAGAGAAAAAATAAAGAGAAAAATTTGATTAGTACGAGCGTGTTGTATTGACTTTAAAACACGGCCACAAATATTGCTCAAACGATCAAAATTTACGCTCACAAAAAACGTAGCTTTTAAAAACCATTCAATTTTTTACAAAGCATGGCTCTTTAGTAATTTTACGGTCACGAAAACAACAAGATAACTTCTTGACAAGTTAAATCGAAAAGTATAGAACAATATATTTAATCTCTTCATTGCAATTGTATGGCATTTATTTTACCTCTGTCGTTGAAAATTTTATTGACAATCTATGGCACAAGAAACATTCAAAGTTTTTATTAGAACCTTCACGAAGGATGGTATTTCATACAAGTTTTTACAAACTAATTTAGAGCAAATACTTGAGGTTTGCTGGTGAAAAGTTGACTTTGAGCAGCTGATCGATAATATTCAAATTAACTTATGCTTTTCCCAATTGTCTGATCAGACGTGAAAATTAAGAATTTAAAAAATGATCACAAAAAGGTCACATTATTTCTGGAAGTCCCGGGTTGACTACATACACCTAAAGAAGTCATACAATTCCATTTTGTTTTTCGAATCTCCTCAATGGCAATTTTATGAATTTTTTTTCTCATATTCTTTGTGTAAAGAAAAAACAAATAATTCAAATTGGCGTTTTTTTTTATAAAAAGGTTTGTCAAATAGATCAATTCTATTTGAGTTGTATAGAAAGAATTTTTCGATGAAAAAAAAAACTATGGGACGAGAATATATGAGCCAAACTCTCCAACAAAATTTAAGGCGTAAAAGTTGTATAAATTTTGTCCTTAGCTTATTCCAGCTGTCAAAAAAATTCGTTTAAAACAATATTTCATAATGGATTGTTTGTACTCGCCAAAACTTTTTTTCTGAGTAATAAATGATACTTCGGCTTAATAACAATTGGCCAAAAATTTCAATCCGACAAATTTTTTGAAATGAATAGGAAGTTGTATGAGAAGTAGAAGACTAGTTTTGGCAACCCGATTTTTTTTTGTAAATCTATCTTTTTCTTATTCATAATGCGCAAATCAGAATGAACTTCATCTTGTTGGTGTAGGTGAAATGAAAATCAACTAATCTGAAGTAACATCCGGAATCTAATACAAACTACGTATTGGTTGTCTACGAGTTTGTTCTAGTGTGTCTAACTCTTGCTCTTTTCGCTATCTAAAGGAATTGAGATTGTCCAAATTTTTTCCTTAGTTGGGTGTGTTTTTGGTGTTGTAGTTGGATATTTTGTTCATATTTGTTTGATTGCCAACCATATGTGGGATTCAATTTACTTTGATAGTTTGGTCAATATAAGACTCGTCAAAAATTGAGTTAGGGGACTCATTTTGATAATGATCAGGGTTAATTGGAGTTTCATACTCAAGTTCTTTTTTTAACATATTAATAACTAATGTGCTTCATTTTCACTTCCATCAACCGTGCTTTCACAGTGTGTATGGTTTAGTTGCTTTTCTAAAGTTTTCGTATTATCTATTACTGGTTGGTCTGGAGTTGTTTCATTTTTATTTTGTACTTGATTTTTTTTGTCGTTGATGTTTAGGTGCACTTCTTCTAAAGTTATTATTCTGTCTATCTGAACAAGGTGAGTTATTGCGATAAGGTGATTGAGAATAATTTTGTGATCTATTTTGGTAGCTATTTTTCCTGAATCTAGAGTTATTAAAGTTTTCACGTTATCTGCCTTTTTAGTTTTTTATATGGTTTGTCATTTGGACAGTTTCGAGATATGTTAATTGGGTAATTCTTATCACAGTATTACAGTTGGAAATTGACTAAACGTTACTGTATTGATTGGTCTGACTATTTGATCAACTTTATCTAACTTGTGAATAATTTTGTGAATTTTGTCGATCCGGGGATCGTTCACAACAATTGTTAGAAACTGGTGGCTGTGATCTGCTATTACTATATCTAGGTGGTAGTGGTTTTCCTGACCTTTTATTACTTTATTTTTCTTTCATTTGTTAAATTTAGGTCTTTTTTCATGCATTGGTAAAAAAAATTATTCAGTTCTTTATGTTTTCGTTGACGATTTGATTTATCTTGTTCTTTTTTTTCTGCATTCGACAAAACTATGTCCGTATCTCTGGTTATATATACAACTTTTTTTGATTTGAGTTTTCCTTCAAAGTTTGGATTCTTTTAATATATATTTAGGGTTCGAGTGATTTTGTTCAGCTAAATAATTATCGGAGTCTTGAATGTTGTTTAACTCAATTGTCAACACAAAATAAGCGCTGCCACACTTATCTTGTACGTTCTACAAAGTAAATTTTTATAACTTACACTATTTTGTATATTAAGTAATTTTTTTTGTCTACACACTAATTGAAATGTCTTTCTCTCTCTCTAGTTGTCTGATTTTTTTTTACATACTAGAAATTAAATATTTCTGTTGCTCTTAACTTCATTGTGATTTCTGCGTGTTCTAGTTTGTCTACGAATTTGCGGAACTTTTTTCTTGTTCTCGAATTGATGATGGATTCAATGCTCTAATTGTTATTGCTATTTTTCTTAACTCTGGTGTTAAGGTCATCATTTCTGTCTTTTTTCGTTTTTTATAATCGTGTGTATTTAGAGAGTATGTTTTTCGTATCAGAATTTCTATTCTTGAACCGAGTTGTTTTATTCTTTCATTTGGGAGTCTGCGAATTGTTTTGCATAGAAGTCTTAGATATTGTTTGTTTCCTTCAGAGTCAAACATTTTTGAAAAGTCTTGCGTAATTCGTTTCCAATCGGACTTAATTTCTATGGAAAAGGCTGAAAACCATTTTTGAGCTGCACCGTTGAGTGTGGTTTGTATCAGTGCTGTACGTTTATGAATCCAATTTTGATGAAGTGGCGTGATTACAGATTTTGTGCCTAATTTTATTAGTAGGTTAGCTGTGACAGTGTTTAAAAAACTTTCTACTGAATATTCAGGAATTGTTCCTGTGAAAACCATAAGTAGTTTGCTTGATGTTATAGTTGATTCCGCCATGAGGTATAAAACAATTGTCATTTGAAATGATTCTGCTGTGTTTGGTATTTGTGTACAATCTGTGAGTTGATTTTTAAAAACTTCATGTTGTAAGAAATATGGTAGTGGAATTTCATTTCTCATTGAATAGGGTTGGTAGCCTTGCGTAATCATTTGATAACGTGATTGTCCTTTATGATCTGTTTGTACAAAATTTTGTCTTGTAGTGTATTGCTGTTGTGTTTGTCGTGGTCTTTGTGAAGTCATGTAAGGTTCTAAATTATCTGATGAAAAAAATCGTCTGGTTGGTCTATGTCACTCCGTTGGTTTTTTCGGTGATTAGTATTGTACTGTTGTTGTTTTCGACAAAACTATTCTTCATCATCTGGATAAGGTGGTTGGTTTCTAATGATTTGCCTATCGTTTGTTTTTTTTTGTTTTGCTGAAAATGTGGATAAATCTCAGTGCAGTCTGTTTGAGGTTTTGTCTTATCAGTAAAACTTACAAGATTGAGTTTATGGATTTTTAGATACTTGCGGAGTGTTCTTATGTTCATGACGTTAGTTTTGAGCCGTAACAAGTGGTAGTGCTATTGGATTGCTGATAATATTATTGGTAAAATAATCGTAATTATAGCTTGCGAAACTTTTTCAATTTATTTATTTTTGTTTCATAATTGGACGTTTTCTAGATATTGGTCTAAATAGTTCATAATCCATTTGCAAAATTTTTGCAGCGAATAATGGTTCAGCTGTTGGTTGTAATGTTGTTGGATGATTGTAATTGGGAACGTTGTTGTTTTTGTTGTGTGGTGTTGTGATTGTTGGATTGTTGGATTGTGGGTTTTGTTTCAACAGTTTCTTCGTTTACAAAAGTGATGGCGTTTGAATATTTTGTTGTGTCAGGTTCGTAGTTCCATTTTCTTGTGCATTTATCAATATGAGTACACACTGTTATTGAATGTCTCTTTTTTAAAAGCTGTGTTTTAATTTCGGTTGTTAAAGGAGTTATTTTAAAATAATTTTGTGTTCTGAGATTGTTGTAGACCCTGCACTAGAGACATCATTTTGTATGCTAAAAATTAAAATGTGGTACCATTCTGGGTCCCATCCATAACCCGTTTCATCTGCTAGAATTGTTTCTTTGCTAATTTTTGGTCGACAATTTTCTCTTGCCTGAGCAATTAAATCTAAGTTATGTTGAAAGTAACCTATAATGAACTATGCTAGGCTTCCTTGTAGATCATTTTCAATTGTTTGTGATGTTTCAATTTCAGTCGTTGTTTCATGAATTGAGCCTGAAAATGGTGGAAAGAGATTGAATTCTCGTCTTCTTTTTGCGTGTCGAGATATTTGTGGTGGATATGTATGAAGTGTTTTTTTTTTGTTTCTAAGACTAAAACGTAAAAATAAATGTTGGAATATAATAGTGAAGATTGAGTTTGCTCTTTGTGAGTTGTGATGTTGAAATTTTTTTTCTTCGGAAAACTTTTTGAGAAAATTAATTCTATCTTATCTGTTTGTATTCGGTGTGGTTGTTGGATGGATGAATTTGTTGCTAAAATTTCGGTTGTAAATATGCCATAGGTTGTATTATTTATACATGGTAGATAATGATCCAATAATTACCTGGTTAATTTTACTTCTTGAATTCTTGTTTACATGGACTATTTCCCTTTTGGAACAAACTTACGATTAAGTTGTGACAAAATTGTACTTGTCCGCTTGATGGATCGCTTTTTGGGTCGATGAAAAATGGGAAAATAGTGTCATTGTGAAAGTTGTCGTCCTATTGAATAATTTTTTGTGCGGTTTTACTCTAACTTGTAGTTTTTAAAATGTCTTATCGGTTGATATCAATTGTACAATCTTACTGGTTTTTGAATATCAGATTTTTTATTCTTCGTTTGCCTTTCATGGATAATGCTGTTATGGCTACTGATTCGGAAAATTATCTTCGATTGTCCACTGATTTTTTTGTCTTGTTGCAGCTCTCAATGATTTTCATCTTTTTTTTCTCGTTGCTGAGTCAGATTCCGAAACAGCGTTCCGTGTTCTGGAAAGATTACGTTTTTATGATTTGCTTTTGATTTGATATTATGGCCTTCTTTTTTATTGCTTTTTGATCTAATGTATCGTACTTTTTGTCTGTGTGTTGTAATTGAGAGATCGTTTGTTGCGTCTTCAATTAGTTAATTATGAAGAAGTTTTGTTTGTTTGTTTCCCAAATTATTTTTTGACATAAGTGTTAGAATGATCGATGCAAAATCCGGGTGTCAGTTTCTATTTCCTAAATTGTTTATTCTTACAATTTTTGTGAGTTTATCCTAATCCTTGGTATAGATTTTTGTCACGCGACGGGTTTAAAAGAGTTTATGTCAATTCGTTAAATTGATTTTTTATTGCTCTGGTGTGTAAAGCTATTTACATCTAAGTAAAAGTTGATCTTACTTAGTTCGATTTGAGATCAAGGGTTGGAGAATAGTTAATCAATCAAAAAAATTCAAGTACAATTATTACACAAGTAGATAGTTAGTTACAATTATAGTTCTTACTAGTTTTAAAATTTGTTCTAAGCCTGGTTCAATAAAAAACAGGGTTCAAGTAAATGATGTGTAACCGAAGTCCTTCACTGTTTGTCCTAATTGGAAGAATGTTTTTTTTTGGAAAATCGTCAATTAATCCTGGGTTTTATATAAGGTTTGGAAAAAAAATCGACTTTTGAGGTCGTTAGACACTAGCTTTAAGAGGTGGTGATAAAATCTTTTTAATTGATACAAGGAAAACCTTGATGATCAAATTTTAAACTAATTTAGAAAATTCAGTTATGGATAAACTTATCGAATTAATTGTTTAAGAAAAAAATCTTAAGCTCCAAGGATAGCCTTGATGATCTGATTTTAAAAAATCATTTCAGCTTTTAGGTTAAAGAGGATAAGCCTGGTTAATTTTTTATTGAAAGATTTAACAATTTAAAGAAGGGTTAGAGTTTAACTTTAAAGGAGGTTAGTTGTTCTAATTTTTTGTGAGGTTTAGGTGAAAAAGAACAGTAACAGGAAAAGTCTCCCAGAAGCAAGAAAATTTTGCTATTTTATGAAACTAATCGAAAATGCTTAATTACTTTTTTCCTGTTTTTTTTTTTTAGTTTTTCGAAATTTATAAAAATTCTTAAAGTTTTTTCAAATTTACTGCAGATTTTAAAGTTTTGAGCTAGATGGAAGATTTGTAGTAGACTGATTTTTTTCATATTTAAAATATGCATATTAGTGAGATAAATGACTTTGAAAGAATCTTACTGCTCTGTTTATTTTACTGCGCAATTCATTTTAATGAGTGAAAACGTACTGTATGAATAATTTTGTAGAGGAAGGATCGTTGTAGTCTGGTTTTTGTTTCACGATGAAGAATCTCTTAGTCTGTCGTTTGACCTGGTGTCAACATTTTGATTCGTTTGATTTGATTAGAACTATTGAGACGTGGAAACCGGCCTTTTTGATCGTCATTTTAATTTATCATTTTGTGGAGCGTTTTTTGATCTAGTTTGTCTATTTAATTTTGTTTTTGCTAAATCTAAATCAGTAGAGGTCTGTTCGAAAATCTTTTGGTCGCACCAGAGGCGTTTATTTCCGAGTTGGATTTGTCATAGAGTGGTTTTGCATCTTATTTTCGGCCGGATAGATTCGTGCAACTTCATAGTCTAATACCGATCCTATTCTTACTCTTATATTTTCTAGTTGGAATAGATCTAGTATATACTGGTATTGTTTGGAGGTTAGAAGCGAGGATTAGCCACTGTTTTCTAAGTTAAATTTATTCTTCTCTTGCTGAAAATAAATTGTTTCAGCCTTACAAATTGTTGTAAGTTTTAGTCATGGATCATGGTTGGTTAGTTCTAAGTATTTTACAGTGATGGTTATCAGGAATACGCTTGTTTATCTCAAATACTTGTTTCGAACTGGACTCAGACTCTCTCGCATTTTAAAATCTTTTCAAATTGCGTCGAGGCAAGCTAACTGGTCTTATTGTACCGTCTTTCGAAAAAAGTGAGAAATGTTATGCTCGGGATAATTTTTTCTGTTCAGCCCAATTTCACAAAACTCTGATGTCTCAGGGGATCGATCTCTTGATCTACATGCTCCCATTCAGGTGTCAACCTGACTACAGTAACCTTCCTCGAGACTGTCTAAACTGCTCGTTTAGCACTTTACACGCGGTGAATTATACCGCACTTCAAAATCGTTCCGAATTGAATTGAGGCAGCTAATTTGTTTCTATCAAATTCAAACACGACTCACTTTGAAGCACTTAATTTTAAAAATTATCATCAGCCATATTTTCATAGTTTTGTCTTTTTTGAACGTTTAGTCGGAACAATCAGGGCGTTGCCTTGATACGGTCAATCTTGTTAATTCCATACCCCGCCAAATTTTAATGCTAAAATTAGCCTAACGTTCATACTTTGTCAATACCCAAAACTGTGCCATTAGCCAAAAAGTGGGGTCTTTTCCTATCCAAACATAATCATCAATTTTATGTTGTAACGAGGTGTTTAACAAGGCTCAGCAGGAGGATCAAGTATGCTTGCAATGGCCTACTTAGTCTTCATGCCAATTTTTGTAACAATTGAGCAAAAGGAACAGAAAAATTACTTATTAAGTTTCGCACGCGTGGGAAAAAAGAAAAAAAGACAAACAACTATTCGAGGCTAGTTAATGGGCAGTTACAGCATTCAGAGCTTTGTCCAAGAGCAGTTTTGATATTTATAAAATCGTGCAGCTGTTAGTCCAATAATAGGTCTTCATCCTATTTATTTAGTCTCCATCGGTCTGTAGAAAACAAGGTTAACAAGCTTAATGCGGAGTTCATTTTTATTCCATCTTTATTCCTCCGGTAGAGTGTCCTGACCAAAAACATAAAATTTGGATGTAGAGGTTAGATGAATCATAGGTGGTTAGCCATAACGTTTTACAATTGGAAGATAATGCTTTAATGATTTTTCGATGGGAAGACGCAGCTGTCGTCTTTCTTTGTTGGATCAACAGAAACAAATATGAACTAAACATATTTATCATTTCTCTACTGTTCAAAGCTTTACTTTTCAAAGTGTTTAATCGACAGAAGTTTCGAATAGTTATAAGCGTGATTATTACAGAGGTTAGGTAAAAGTTTTAATTGATTGCAAACAGTTTTGATATGTGCAAGTAGTTTTGAAAGAAAGTTAGTTAATCGTAAATTACAGAAAGTTCTTTAGCTAGTGACGTTCACAACGTTCTGCGGCTCCTTGCAACTCGTTGACGATATGCTTCAACTCCTCGAGATGTTGTCCCATTTCATTATTCCAGTTATTAGTATTGTTCCTCGCTGGATTTTCCCTTATTCTTTCAGCAGAGAATTTGATGGCATGAATTAAATCATGCATTCTCACGTGTAATTCTGGCAACCAATGAACTCCGGCGTAGCGCGACAAACTTCTGATGACTGAATCATCATTGGAGGTTACAAATCGCTCGTCACTTTCCTCGAATACTCCTGCACATTGAACAATTGGAACCCGAGTTTCCCTATCAAAAATTTGACGCATTTCGGTTTGATCTGGCAACAGAGCCAGAATAATTTTAATCAAGTCTTTGTTAAACTTGGTTATGTCATTGCCGGTTAGCAGTTGATGTTTCAGAGAACGTTGAAATTGAGATTTAGGTTGCTTCACGTAGCAGCTACACTCCGAATGGTTACCTAAACACTGAAATGCTTATCGCATGTAGTGAATTTAACCTATTCTGGGCTTTTAGCAGCCGTAGTTGAAAAAACATATTAAAATTTTGCTCAAACCAGTTGAACTCGATGTCGTCGGAGGTCGGCGGAGCATCAACTGCAATGGAGTGTCTTCTGGATCCAAAGAATCGCCTAAAGATTGTTTTTTTTTGGTTAAGTAAGCTGTGCTAATCTGAATCAGATATCCAAATAAAATAGAAAAATCGGAAATACTACCGCTAGGTAAAGGATCCATTATCGACAGTTGCAATCGATGAATGTTTGTGGACACTGATGTCTTTCTGGGTTGTTTTTGTTCCGATATAACCCTAAAAATTAAACCATGAGAATGTGTTTAAATAGCTTTATTGCAATTTTAATTTTTAAGAAGAATGAAAGATAAAGTATGCCGGTTCTTTTCCCCATCCGCAGCATTGCAATTTATTCATTTTTGGTTTTACACTATTATGGCTAAATTGATAATTTTTTGATGTTATTTAAAATTCTTGATTCTCAAATCTTAAATTGTCATCTTCAAATTTATTTATCACCAAAATTATGATCAAACTCCGATAATTTGATAATTACAAACTGGAAATTACCGCTTTTCAAGTAATGCATATAAAAGATTATTCACATCATGAATATCCTCGGGGAGGGCATTAGTTACGGAGACAAGAGAGGTTAGGGCTCGGTATTACAATTGCTCGTGAGGTCAATAAATCCGTTTTTTGTTCGACTAAAGCCAGTTTCACCGCGGGCCTATAAAGTGTTCCTAACGCTGTTTTGATTACGCATGAGCGCGCAATGCCATCAGGACCGGTACCCATTTCAACAATCCTACCCAGGGGCCATATGCCTCACAGAGTAAAGTCTTCGAGGATCCACACGAGGTCATGTTTTTCTATGGTTTCCTCTTTTTGGTTCAATTTTGTTCGTTTGATCAGGGTTGGAGCGTACTCTTTCAATAGATGCCTCCAGAAGCTGTCTAGTTGGTCCCTGGTTAGCTTCCAGTATTTGTTACTTAGCTTGTTGGTATTTGTTTGACCGTAGGATGAAACTGCGGGAGCGTGAATGAATGGCCTCCCAATTAGGAAGTGGTTAGGTGTAAGTGGTAATGTGTCATTAATGTGGCAACTTACGTGGGTCAGTGGTCTTGAGTTGATGAGGACTTCGCATTCTACGACAATAGTTGAAAAACATCCCTGGAAAGTCTGTCCGATCCGTAATTCAAAAGAAGGACTCATTGATGATCGAAACGAGAAGTTCTCAGACCGCACGAAAATGAGGAGCAGATCGTGGATTCAGACGCCAGTCGATTGACATCAGCTCAAGCTTAATTGCTATTTCGTTTTTGTTGATATTAAAGGGTTGTTTCATGATTTATTCAAGTGCGGCGACAAGTATGCTGCGTTATCAGAAAGAATTATTTTAGGTAGGCCATGAATCTACGAATTGCTGTCAAGCAATTTTCAGTTGCCAGATTGTCGGTAGTTTCCAGGTCGATTGCAGGCGTTGTTAAACAAGTAAAGAGACCATGTGGTTTTTTTGTTGGTAACTTTTTCAGCAAAGTAGAATGGACCGATGTAATCAAGTCTAACGTTCTTGAAAAGTAATGGATTCTTTTTCGGTTCATCGAAGCGCTGTGCAGGTAGATCAGCCATGAAAAGGTGTAAACATTTTACTTGAAAGCAGGGACACAAGAAACAGTGTTGGCGTATGTGTCTCAGGTTTTTCTGAAACCCAACATTATGAAGCTTTGTTGTAGATAGTGTCGTACAAATTCGTTGCCAAAGTGCATGCATTTATGAGGAGTGTTTTTGGCCATAATCTGAACCGAACCTTCCTTTGCTTGTAGATTTTTAAGGTACTTACTTGCATCTGACATTGTCAATGTCTCACTCGTCGTCGCGCACGGATAATATTACCATCAATGAATAGCGTGTATGCCAGTTTTCCAGATATCTTTGTTGCCCAATTTTTGTTGGTAGTTAAACGTTTAATAGTAATAGGGAAAGTAGCGTGTTGTGATTACTCGTAGAGTAGAGCTTTAGCCATCTCCCGGTCGTCTATTCTTAAAAAGCCTTTTCGTTTTTGCTGAATAATGTCCTTGAAATGAACAACTTGAGCAGTAGCGCAAAGTAGACGAAGCCAATTGGGAAATCTCCAAACATCATGATTGGTTCCCTTTTTGCGCTAATAGAAATGTTTTCCCATTTCACTATAGCGTTGGTATGTAAAATTTTACTGTCGAGTTTTAGTTTAGTAGTTCTCTTTTTATCTGTAGTTGTGAAAATAGGTTGATTAACTGTGTCGTCCTGAAGTTTTATTTGGGGCCAATCAGATTCTAGTGAGAATAGGACTTCCGGTGGCTTCAAAAACTGACGAAACAATGTGAACAAAATATGACGTATAAGTTTTCGCAGCATTGAAGAGCCAAAAATTCCCGTAAACCGTAGAAAATAATCAAAATTTGTTCAATGTGCATGGGTTTATTAAAGTGAAAGCAAAAGTTTTTGGAGGAATTAGAAATTTATCTTGATTCCCTTTGTAAGTTTAATGCAGTTCCATTGCTTATGCTGTTTCCCGCCTGTTCTAGCCCTGCTGCATTCCAATTGGTAAATCGGTAATCTGCATCTGCTTCGATTGACATGTTGCTGTTGCTATTTGTATACGAAACTGCTCCGCCGTCTGACATTTGATCTGTCGGTTACTTGAACTCGAATGATTGAATTATATGAAATTTTTTGTTTTTAGAGATTTCTTCTTGGTATTTTTCTGATAACGTAAGTGCGACGTTAAAAGAAGGATCAAAAAGTGTTCGAAGTCTCTGCAAAACAATGTTCTCAGATGTTTTTTAATCAGAGAAAAAATAAAGAAAAAAATTTAATTAGTACGAGCGTATTGTATTGGCTTTAAAACACGGCCACAAATATTGCTGAAACGATCAAAAATTACGTTCACATAATACGTAGCTTTTAAAAATCATTCAATGGTCACGAAAACAACAAGATAACTTCTTGGCAAGCTAAAACGAAAAGTATAGAACAATATATTTAGTCTTTTCATTGCAATTGTATGGCATTTAATTTACTTCTGTCGTTGAAAACTTTATTGACAATCTATGGCACAAGAAACATTCAAAGTTTTTATTAGAACCTTCACGAAGGATGGTATTTGATACAAGTTTTTACAAACTAAATTAGAGCAAATACTTGAGGTTTGCTGGTGAAAAGTTGAAATTGAGCAGCTGATCGATAATATTTAAATTAACTTATGCTTTTCCCAATTGTCTGATCAGAGGGGTAAATTAAGAATTTAAAAAAATGATCACAAAGAGGTCACATTATTTCTGGAAGTCCCGGGTTGACTACATACACCTAAAGAAGTCATACAATTCCATTTTGTCTTTCGAATCTCCTCAAAGGCAGTTGTATGATTTTTTTTTCTCATATTCTCTATGTAAAGAAAAAACAAATAGATCAAATTGGCGTTTTTTAAAAAAAGTTTTGTCAAATAGATCATTTCTATTTGAGTTGTATAAAAAGAAGTTTTCGATGAAAAAAAATTATGGGACGAGAATATACAAACCAAACTTTCCAACCAAAATAAGGCGTAAAAGTTGTATAAATTTTTCCTTAACTTATTCCAGCTGTCAAAAAATTTCGTTTAAAATATTATTTCATAATGGATTGTTTGTACTCGCCAAAACTTTTTTTTTCTGAGTAATAAATGATACTTCGGCTTAATAACAATTGGCCAAAAATTTCAATCCGACAAATTTTTTGAAATGAATAGGAAGTTGTATGAGAAGTAGAAGACTCGTTTTGGTAACCCAATTGTTTTTGTTTTTTTTTGTAAATCTATCTTTTTCTTATTCATAAGGCGCAAATCAGAATGAACGAATCTGAAGTAAAATCCGGAATCTAATAAAAACTACGTATTGGTTGTCTACGAGTTTGTTCTAGTTTGTCTAACTCTTGCTCTTTTGGCTATCTAAAGGAATTGAGATTGTCCAAATTTTTCCTTAGCTGGTTGTGTTCTTGGTGTTGTAGTTGGATATTTTGTTCATATTTGTTTGATTGCCAACCATATGTGGGATTCAATTTACTTTGATAGTTTGATCAATATAAGACTCGTCAAAATTTGAGTTAGGGGACTCATTTTGATAATGATCAGGGTTAATTGGAGTTTCATACTCAAGTTCTTTTTTAAATATATTAATAACTAAGGTGCTTCATTTTCACTTCCTTCATTCGTGCTTTCACAGTGTGTATGGTTTAGTTGCATTTCTAAAGTTTCCGTATTATCTATTACTGGTTGGTCTGGAGTTGTTTCACTTTTATTTTGTACTTGATTTTTTTTTGTCGTTGAAGTTTAGGTGCACTTCTTCTGAAATTATCATTCTGTCTATCCGAACAAGGTGAGTTATTGCGATAAGGTGATTGAGAATAATTTTTTGATCTATTTTGGTAGCTATGATTCCTAAATCTAGAGTTATTACAGTTTTCACGTTATCTGCCGTTTTAGTTTTTTATATGGTTTGTCATTTGGACAGTTTCGCGATATGTTAATTGGGTAATTCTTATCACAGTAATACAGTTGGAAATTGACTAAACGTTACTGTATTGATTGATCTGACTATTTGATCGACTTTATCTAACTTGTGAATAATGTTGTGAATTTTGTCGATCCGGGGATCGTTCACAAAAATTGTTAAAAACTGGTGGCTGTGATCTGGAACTTTTATTACTTTATTTTCCTTTCATTTGTTAAATTTTGGTCTTTTTTCATGCATTGGTAAAAAAAATTATTCAGTTCTTTATGTTTTCGTTGACGATTTGATTTACCTTGTTGTTTTTTTTCTGCATTCGACAAAACTATGTCCGTATCTCTGGTTATATATACAACTTTTTTTGATTTGAGTTTTACTTGAAAGTTTGGATTCTTTTAATATAAATTTAGGGTTCGAGTGATTTTGTTCAGCTAAATAATTATCGGAGTCTTGAATGTTGTTTAACTCAATTGTCAACACAAAATTAGCGCTGCCACATTTATCTTGTACGTTCTTCAAGGTAAATTTTTATAACTTACACTATTTTGTATATTAAGTATTATTTTTTGTCTACACACTAATTAAAATGTCTTTCTCTCTCTCTAGTTGTCTGAATTTTCTTTACATACTGGAAGTTAAAGTTTTCTGTTGCTCTTAGCTTCATTGTTATTTCTGCGTGTTCTAGTTTGTCTACGAATTTGCGGAACTTTTTACTTGTTCTCGATTTGATGATGGATGCGATGCTCTAATTGTTATTGCTGTTGTTCTTAACTG